TTATGAAGAAAATTTTTCATACAAGGATGCAGGAGAAAAAGATAGCAGTGCCATTTTAACTGAGATACCCCAGCAAAAAAACTTAAAAATCATAAGATCTACAAATAAATATAAGTGCAACATTTCAAGGAGTAAAGTGGGAAATTGCAAATATTCAGCCTTCACACTATCCATTTACACAACTTCAAAACAAACTATTTTACTTAAAAATAAGTTCACTGATTTATAAAATAAGCAAAAAAGCCCTTTCTGCTCAGAATAAAATGTTAATATTGCAAAACATGGTTCTGAAAGTTAGACAGGCAAGCCTATGGCAAGCAGACGGACAGTTTTTCCTCCAGCAGCCTTCCTGTGTGGAAGGGAAGAGGGCAAGGGCTTTGGATGACTCGCCTGTGTCAGAGTACAGAGTGACGCCCACCACGGGAGGAACATCCTCGGTGGTCGGCGGGACTTCACTGCCTTGCGCTAGGCTGACTTAGATGTTCACAGCAGACCTTTGGCAGACAGTAAAGAGAGGGACCAATTATTAAATATGTTTGTACCACCCCACTGCAAAGGGCTGTGTAAGTACTTATTGTTCCTGTTAGTAATATTTATTGCACTTTTCCTCATTTTGCAGAAAGGATTGAAGTTCAGAGAGGGCCACCCAGCGCATCAGTAGTAGAGCCACATTGTGAATTAGCCATCAGCTCAGAAGCATCTTCACCTTTACAGTAACATCATGGTAGCAGTAGTCGGAAAGCCTGAGACATCAGGGCTGGGCTTCTTGACTTCAGCAAGTCCAGCGAAGCACAACACATACACACATTCTACATGTCAGTGTAACTGGGAGCTGTGCATCTGAGTACTTAATGTAAGAAATGTGTGGCAGCACAGTTCTGTGTTGGCTGGGATGGATCTAAAGAAGGGTCATCTCCGCCTCCAGGGGTAGCCTAGCTGGAGATGGGTTCACAAACAAATGCTAAAGGCTTCCCAGCTGGGAAGTGTGGGGCCCGCTTTTCACATCCTGCTCCCTGGCCAGGCTCCATGTTTGATAGCCCTTGGTCTTAGAGTAGACAGGATTAATGATGGGATATTTTTAAAATACTGGCCACAGCATGGCAGAATATCTTTCAGTATTGAACAGCAATCCCTACTTAAAACTTCTTTAAATGGTGTTGAATTTAACAAGCCTGAATAAAAACATCAAGTTCTTGAAATAGCTTGTTTCTGGTTCCATTGATTCTCTGTGACAGTTCTTTATGATGCCTGCAGTAATACAGCTTTTCATATTGATTGCTCAGAGTCTCATCTTGTCTACCCTTCCCTTTCACCTTGTAAAGCAGATACAATCACAGTGTCCCTTCACAGTTGAGGGCTGTGAGGTTCAGAGGTGAAACAACTTGGTCGAAGTCACACATCTACTGAGTGGCCAACCTTGGATACAAACCCACACCCCTGACTTCAAAACTCATATTCTTCTGTTCACTATGGAAAGTAATCTTAGAAGGATCCCAAGCAACTACTGTACTCTCTGTATTGAGAAAGCCTTAATTTTATGTCTTCACACACAGGTCAAACAAATACCAAAACAACCTAGCCCTTGGAAAAAATAATCGTTTTTCTCATCAATTAAATTCTTACTCTCATTGATTTCTCTACCTCTGTTTTCCAGTCTAATAAAATGAACTCAGCTTGGATCTGTCTATTGATTTTACTTTTTCTACATCAGACTGTTGAGGCCTCAAATGTGAGAAGTCATTTTTCTGCTACTCCTACTTCTGGGATTTGCAAGCAAGGTACTGAAAATGCCAAAGGCCTCAGAAGTCTAGCTGAGAAAAGCAATACGGGAAGGAAAAATCTGTGTTCCTCTACTTCTCGACAAAGGATGAATTTAGGAACCTACAATATTAGTTCCTATTTACAGATTCTTTTAAGACTCTAAACAAAACCCTTACTTTGGTTTTGTTAATTATAAAATATGGACAGAAACTCAAAGGTATCTTAAGCCAAGTAGGGAGATTGCTGGCAAGACCAGAAAGAAATGGACAGAGAACTAATGAAAGGTTCGATCCCACTGGAAATCTAAAAGTGGATACCTGTGTCCACCTATCCAGACTGCTTGAAAGCAAGCACAGCTGTTGTGCTGGGCAGCTTTCATGATCGGATAGCAGGCTTGTCTCCAACACCAAGCACTGGGTCTGAAATGTTCTCTCAAGTCATAGAGAAATGCTGCAGAGAAGAGGCACCGAGTTATGCCCAGAATGGCATCACCTGTGACATCACTTATGCAGTCCTGGCTGCCTCTTGCTCAGTTGCTATAGTAAACATGGCTGATGGACTGAACAGTGGCTTTGAACTTCTGAGCTTCATCCTTCTCATATGGAAGAAGCTCAGCTTAGCCTCAGCCTAGTTTGAATCCTAACTCAAATAAGTCAGGTATCCTGGGTATTTGCAATAGGAAGTATGCTGTTGGTGAGTTATTCATACCTCCCAGGCCTTCTCAGCCAGGCTAGGCCTTTCCGTGGCCCAGGCCACTTTCTAGGAGGTAACCACAGGCTCTCGGGCAAGAGTAAGGGGCGTGATGAGCTTGGCATCTGCCTGCATGTTGTATTTGTCCTAGGCGGGTCGCATTCCTGTCCTGTGCCTCCAAGGCCCTGATTCTGGGAGTGCCGCCTGGGTTCCCGGTGGTAGCGCCCTGCCTCCTCGGGATGTGGGTGGTGAGTTTGCCACCTTACCATCCCGCTCCCGGCCTGTTGAAGAGTACACTCCGCCGGGCTGGTTTCCTTTCCGCCTTCTCTTTGGCAGCTGTCCGCTGGCTGCCTTTCTTCGGCAGCTACTCTTCGCTTCTATCTCACCGTCACTGTGCCTCGAGTTGCCATGTCACTTGTCATTGTACAGCTTTTCACTGCTCTTCCTCCACCGGTGGCAGCCTCATTCTTTGGTATACGGTGCTCAATTTTTGTCCTGTCTCATTAATTATCCAAGGAGCAGCTAATGTAGACTAATTGTCACAGTGGCAAGAATGTTTGCATTTGTTGAACATGGACAGATCCAATTCTGACTATGGAAACATAAACTGATAATACAACAGTATGATTGTATTTATTTATACCTGATTCTCTCATGATATGGGGTTAAGAACAGTATCGTCTGCCAGCGATGGATGTTTGACAGCTTGTGATTGATACATGAAAACAGGTGTGTGCATACAGAAAGGTTTGCATAAAAAAGATGGATCCATAGAAAATGCAACGGAGACAGTGTTGTTTACAGCCATCACAGATGCAAAACCACCACAGTCTTCCTGAGCAAGTAACAGTGAATGCCAGCTGCTTATTCCCCTGCTTTCCAGAAGAAAGGCTACAAAAAAATTAGTTGGCTGACATAATCCATCAGTTTACTTCAAGATTACACACACTGGGACGGGGATTTAGCTCACTGTTTCTGCCACCTGCCCTGCAAGCACGAGGACCCTAGCTCGATGCTCAGTACCAAAAAAAAAAAAAAAAAAAAAAGATTACACACATACATTCACAAACATATTATGTGTTTAATATTTATGAAGGTATTTAGACAACCTAAGAATTCCAAACTTGTGCAAAGTTGCATATATAATAGATTGCTGATCCTAAAATACCAGAAATAGACACTCCATTGAAGGCAATCCCCAGAACTCATGAAAATTTTTTTCTTATTTACACAATTCAGTTTCTTATCAAAGCACCTGCATCTTTTGTAATGTATCTAACAAAATTGAGAATAGGCAGATTTTTGCAGAAACATAATGATTTTTCTCCCCAAGGAAAAATGTGTGGTGGTATATTAAAATAGCTTTAGGTAAAGCTTTAAGCGTGTGGGGAAAAGAATATATAAGAATGTATAATAAGCATGTAATACAATATATTACTGGTTTAAGCTAGATTCTTCATCTTTTACTCAAACCCATCATTTATAAGTCGATTCGGATGTGGATTTCCAGCATCTGCCCAAGTTAATGAGATATGGAAGCATTCTGCAGAATCACAGGAGTATCTCTTGAGTCTAATTAATTTTTTGTAATTTATTGGGAAAGTGTCATGACCAGAAAAATATTTTTAACCTGCTCACAATGTTGCTCAAAACAATCTGGAATTTTTGGATGAACAAAGATAAACTTTCCCATCTTAAAACTGCCATTAGGAAAGGGAAGTGGTGGTCCCCGCCTCCCCTCTCCCCTCACCCCTCACCCTAGTTGACTCGCCACCCGGGGTCTGCCCGCGGCTTCCCCTGCAGCCAGTCCAGGAGTCACGCGCCCTCCAAGGTGGGCTGCTGGTCCTGCCCGACCCTGCCGCTCTCGGCGCAGCCGGCGAGGCCTAGCCAGGGAGTCGCACGCGTCTGCACCGGTGGTTGTCCCTGGGAACATGTCTCACTCTTGTTCCCACAGCACCCAGCACCGTTCACAGACTCCCCGCGGGTTGCACACAGGATGCTCAGTGATTTCTCAGACGTAAGAGGGGAAGGGAAGTTTAAACTCCGGTCTTTGATTTTGGATTACCCCAGGTAGCTTCCATACTCTCTAGGAAGTGGTCTCTGCTGGGGGGAAAAAAAAGCTGTGAAATGCCCTTCTGGGGCTACTCGTCCATGGAAGGAACCCCAGTGTCCGTAAGCCTCTAGGGGCCTGGCTCACTGTACTGTCTTTCCTTCCTGGAGTGTCACCGCCACAGAAATTGTAGGGCCAGGCTAGGGTTGGGTGAAGTGTTTGACCAAGTATTTTGTTTCGTTGGATGTTAAAATGACTGTCCTCTTGCGTAACGCAGGGCACATCCTACCCTCAGAAGAATAATATATTTTAAGTGATTTCTGAAAATGGGCCGTGAAAGCTGTCTACCACATGGCCCACGTTGGCTCTTCTCCACATAGTTACGATTGCAGAATTTGACAGTATAACTCTGAATCTGGTTAATTAAGAATGTGTAAAAGCAAAGTTCTTGCATTATAGCTCGTTCCTTATCTTTGTGTCTTTTACTGTGATGTTGTAGAACTTGGATCATATGGAAAACTAAAATATTATGACACAATGACTGAAGAAGGTAAGAATGATTTTAGAATTGTATGCATTGGCTTTTTTTCTTTTTTTCATTTTTGGTGTCTGTTGCTTGCCCATTTTTTAACCTTTCTTTTTCCTCTTTGCATGACTTCAATGACATCGTGTGATTTATTATTTGTTCTGCATTTTTGTCTAGTTTTTGCCATTGTTTTTATTTGGAATTGGAGATGTGCAATACCATGGGTAATCATGTTATTCCATTCAGACAATCCAAACCATCCCAGTCATGTAACACACTCGGAGAAATGGTGTTAATAATGGAAAAGCAAGCAAACACCCACTGGGTCGGCACTATTTCCCCCACAGGCTCGCAACAGCAGGTAGAGATACATCCACCAAACATGCTCCTGATGTGCCCTTGATTCCAGAGTTGGTTAGGTTTGGTGAGATTCTGGTGCATGCAAAGAAATGAGAGCCCTGGAGTAACTTCATACCCCCGGAACCAGCCTAAGAGCTGGGAGCTTGTGCCCTCTGACCTACAGTTGTTGTTGGCTCGGGAAAGAATGACAGATGCGGCTGTCTCAGCCAGCAGAACTGTCTGTATCACTGATCTCATTCTGTGAGGTTGGGTAGATCACTTGACCATTCCCCTGCGGAGAGATTTATTTTAAAATGTATTTACAAATGAATTCTAGGCAAGACGCCATCCCAGAGGACAGCTTCTTCCTGGGTAGAATCACTTTTGTGAATTAAGTTCTCCATGGAGCAGCAATTTGAAACCCATGAATTCTTGTGAAGGGAGTTGTCTTATTTTCTTATCCCCTATTCTGTCCCACATATTCTCCACCTTTGAGTGATATATAGTAATTTCAACTTAGTAAAACATTTTGGGGTTTTACATGCTTTTTACAGAAGTTACTCTGGTAGGTGAATCAGCTAATTTTATCCTTAAACATGAGAGAGAAATTTCCAAATATGTTGCATATCTTGCTTTCAGCTTCCAGTATTTCTAAGTTGCCTTAGCTTACCAAAGATCTCCTAGCTGCTTTGCATGCAAGAAGTGGATCATTTGACAGCTCTGGGTGCAAAGAATCTCCTCTAAGTCCCTCCCAATTCTGGCTTGCACACAGCATCTGAGCCCTTCTCTTTGGCTGTGCCTGTGCTTTCAGTTAACTGTGATTCTTCTTAAAGTATCAGGTCACTAATAGGATCTCACATTGGGCCCGATCAACAGTGAGGAGGGGGGCTAAGGGCAGAAGATGACAGATAGGAACAAGTATCCCACCATCAGGGAGAGACAGAGCATTCTTAAAAGGAGGCACCTGGCCCAGTTATTATTTTATCCCTGGCTTGCCTTGGAGAGTTTGTTCGCTTCTACCTGAGCTGTCATAAATCTTCACTGTCTCTCACTACACCACTGCCCACTGCCGTCCACTCTAAACTCCCACTACCAGCACCTCTTGTCTCCTCGTCATCTATCTCAGGGCCCCTTCCCCCTTACTCTGCTCGTTTCCTTTCTCTTTTCCCAACTGAGCAAATGTTGCTGTCCGACATTGTCTTCTCCCTTCCTCTGTCCTACAACACTAGACAATTTGAGATCACCTGAAAATGCCAGAATGGTAGAGTCGCACTTAATAATGACCAGGCTTTTGAAGCAAGAAAACAAAGTCAAAATAATGTCTGGAATGAGAACAAGATGAGCGTTAGCACAACCATCAGAGTGTGTTGAAGGCCCTCATGGGTCCTTTTCCTTCTCCTCCTTCCGACTTCCCATCCTTTCATGCACGTTCCATCGTGTCCCATTCCCAGCTGAACATTCATCCCCATTATGCTGAAAACAACAGTAGTGAAGGCAGCATATCTACATTATGTTCTATGAAATACTAGTTTCATACGATGTTACTAGGCATTTGACAAGAAAGGAAATATTAATTTCACAGTTAAGTAAGTGAAAAGGTTTGAGTTAAGTTGAACAAATCCTCTACGACATGCCTTCTTGGGGCCTTTAGTGTGCTCCTGTGCCCTGATCCTGTAGTAAACTGTAAAAGGGGTGCAATGTGCAGGGTTTCCCAGGGTCCTGTGATCAGAGAACTCATGCTTACATGGAGCCTACGCGACACTTGCAGGAGTGCTAGCTCGGGTTAATTCCTCACTTGGAGCAGGAACCACTGAGGATTAAAAAGGTCTCCAGACACATGGAAATCCTTCTCAGGTACCAGTAGGAAGGGAATCTTGGAACGGGGGCTCAGCCACTTCAGATCACCTCCTTTGGCAGCTGCTTCCACAACAAGCCAGGTTTGGTTTAAACCTAATTCTGGGATCCGTCAAAAAGACAGCCGGCTCATTGGCCTCAGATCTGGCATTTGCGAGGCGTAACTTCTTCAAATTCTCAAGGGTCCTTCCCTACTCATTGTAAAATAATAATCCTAACTGTGATTTATTTCCTTCCATGCTGTGCAGTTTAAGGAAGTACAATAAAGACAAAGATGTTTGGAGCAATAACTGTGAGCTGTTCGGGATATCTCCCCTCCAATTACACATTTTCACAATTTGAGAGTTGTGACTATGCCCTAAGCAAGGCTTTATTATGATTGAGTATGTGAGTAGTCAGTAAAAAAGAGAGTAGTGTACAAGTTATTCATAACTTTTTCCAGGAATTCTCTAGACACTGTGTGAGGTTAGATACTTAGAGTGAAGCCTTTGTTCCCCTCCCTAAGTGGACCAAACAGAACCCCGCAGCCAGAGAAGAATTGAGTGATGATTTTTAAATAAAGAGAATTTTCCTGGACATATTCAGGCCATTACTTTAAACACTCACTGTGTGTGTTATTCTGCTAGATACTTTGAGGAAATAAGACTAAAAGGTAGTTAGTCTGTTCCTGCAGAGACCAGGAGAGAAATAGCACACAGCAATCACTGAGATACAGGAAATAAAGTGATCAGAAGACCACACATGGAGGAAAGGAAAGCTGCTTTCACTGGGAAAGGATGTTTTGCAGAGAAAGTGGTCTTTGAATGAGGTCTTACAGTATCAGTAAGTATAGCATAAAGTAGGCAAGGAGGATGGCAGGGACTGACCTCCCAGGCTGAAAGAGGAATAGGAGGATGAAGGTTCTCCAGCATTTGCTGAGTGTCTCCTGCTTGCCTCCCAGGGCAGGGCTGTGGGCTCTGTGTGTTGTGCGTCAGCTAATCCTCATCCTGCTCACATGAGAATCAGAGAAGCACTGGGCCCCGGAGGTAGTGGGTGGTGATGCAAGGCCCACCCTGGAGTCCACGCTGCACCACTGTGGCTGTGCTGTGGGCTGTGCGGGGGGATAAGGGACAGAGGCAGTGCGAGTCAGCTGCAGGGAGGGAGTGGAGGCCGGGAACAGCATCACAGAGTGGTAGCAATGGACTGCGGGGTGAAACAGTTCCCCTGCTTGAACACATGACCATAATATGTTTATTTTAATGAACACCGGACAAAATCAAGGTGTTTGCAAAGTTAGCTCTCAGAGCCCTTTCTTTCCAGCAGGGCACCCTAGTGACCTAGAACCTGGATCAGCCCCCTGGGCCGTCCCTGTGCCCTCCCCGATCTCAGGCTGAGACTCTTGCCAGACCAGACCCTGACTGGGAGCAGGGCTGCAGAGACCAAGGACGTCCTCCCGAGGGGTCGCGAGGTGGTGGGAGACATGGCAGAGACGTGCCATGTGCTGCACAGACCTGCACGCTGGGGAAGCCAGCGCGGGGACCCGAGAGTGCCCCGCAGGTGAAGCCTGCGTCACTGGTCCCCGCACTGCACGATGACTCACTGTCCTGCCAGCCAGCGGTGCACGCATGCTCACTTCATACCAAGTGAGAACTTGCTAGACTTGAGAGATGTTTGCCGGGACTGTGCTGGCTTCTGTAACAAGACATTTCTGGAAACTCAAATGCATGGCCCTGGCTTGGGTCTTCCATGGCCTCGGTGCCCCCACATGGAAAGCCACCCCTTCATTTCCTCACAGAGAAGTGTCTAGTCTGCAAGTTAAAACCATGGCTTAGTTCTCATCTGCAGATACACAAATTTCAAAATATTCTCACTCTAGGAAATTCTCAATAAATTGAACTTCACTTCCTTTCTTATAGAAAGCAAAGTGAAAAGTTAGTTCAAAATAAAACTAGTTTGTGTGATGGAACAGATGAATTTAAAGGAGAGAGGCCTTTCCACTGATGGCAATATACAGAACCAGTAAGTGCTACTCTATGGGGACAGATATGGGTAGGTAAGTAGACACCCTGACTGATAGCTTTCAGTGAAGTGGTGTACAGAGTCAGCTCCTTACATTGCATTATCCTAAATCTATTGACACTTCACAGAAGCCATTTCCAGAAAAAACAATTTTACCAGCATTTCAAACATCAACCATGTCCATTTGTATGAGAAATTAGGTAAAAAAAAGTTATGATATAAAGAACAAAATTTATAATGACCTTTTCTTTAATGAAATCAAGCCCACTATTTCATGGTAACCAATAGCCCCTTTTCCAAACCAGGAAACTAACAATGTCTCACATGAATCACGGGCTCTTAAATTAGGCATTTGGCTGAGTTTTTTTTAAACCCCAATTATTTCAAAGAAACAAAAGCACCTGAAGGTCACATAGTCTTTTGAGCTATTTGATATTCTTAGTTTCATTGAAATCGCCTGCTTCTTTTTCAAAAAGGAATTTGATTTTGAAATATCATTTAGCAGTGCTTTCCATTGCCCAAGACATGCCCTCTAGAAGTGTAGTTCTGAAACAAGTCGGTGGTGTCATCTGTGGCCTTCATGGTACATTTTAATCCTTGCTTGAATGGGTAAAACTGTGTTATATATATTGGTATGTCAGGCAAGATTGGTTCCTCTATATATAACAGAAAATCCAGATTAACAGTGGCTTACGTCAGATGGAAGCTTCCTTTTCTCTGAAGTGTAAGAAGCCCGGAGCCAGCCAGGACAAGAAACACACGGCACCTCCCCAATATCCCAAGATGTAGGCTCCTCCCAGCCATCCTTCTGCTTCACAACCATGGTGCACAAT